AAAAAAAAAAAAAAAAAGCATCAAACTGCCATGGAAATAATATTCTACCTTTAATTATGGTAATTTTTTAGTTTAATTTGATCGTTTAAATGACCAAATTAAATTCTAATAAATAGTATAATTATATACTAATTGTGATTTTTTAAGAAAAATTAAATATTTTAATTTTATTTCAATAAATATTATAATAAATCATAAATTTTGGTTGTAAAATTTAAAATATTTAATATTATATCTTTGATTGAAATATTTTTAGTATATAAATATAATATTTTAAATTTGAGAGGTCTAAATATTACACGTCTATAACCTTTAAGGGGTTTAGATGTAACTTATCAATGGATATATTCACGGACATTAACGGTAGGGGTCTAAGTGTTACACACGTACAAACTTCAGGAGATTTATATGTAATATTTCAAACATCAAGAAATCTGAGTGATTAAATAACAAAGTTCATAAGGTTTACATGTAACTCTTCCAAAATCTTATTTGTTTGAACTTTCACATTTAAGAGCATTTTCAATTCTTACATAAATTCATATAAAATTTAAATCTTTACTCTCTTTTAATCTTTTAAATTTGAGTTGATTTTCTTTAAAATTTGAATTTCTTGTCTATTAAAATTTGAGTTTAACTATTATATCATTTGGTATTAAATCAAATTTTTTACTCAAATTTAATAAAAATTTGAGCCAAAGTTTATACTCGATAATATCTATGTTTATACTATAGATTAAAAGTACAAAAATAAAAAATATTATGTTTATACTATATATTAGAAGAATTAATTTAAGAGAGAGTATCACAGTTTGAATTTTATAAAAGTATTTCTAAGAAGATTATCTAAAATAGTTACTCAAAATATAATTAAATATTATATTATCTACTTTAACTAACCACTTCTTCAAACTCACTCCAACAACGCTATTTATTTTATCTAACCACTTCAACTAACTTTCAATAATAAAATCTAAAATACTATTTAGTATGTCATGTCATCATCATATTGATGACATCACATGCTGACGTGTTACGTCACGTCATCAAAATTTTAAAATTTTAATTTTTATTAATAACGGTCATATTTACAACGGTCACGCAATTCAAAATTTTAAAATTTAAGTTTTTCAACGGTCATATTTACAACGCTTATAAGATGAGACAAGTGCATATATTCAAGAGGAGGAGGAGGAGGCGAGGAGGGAGAGATTGGCGCCAACTAGCGATTTACTAGCTAGCTACATCTATGGAGCGAAAATGGGGTTAGCTATTTTAGATAGCCTTTTAGCTAGTCTCTTGAAATAATATTTGAGAGAAAAGTTATGTAAAATAACTAAAAGGGAGGATTTAGATAGCTTCTTGGAGATGCTCTAAGAGTGTGAATTAAAAAAATATATTTAGTTCAAATTCTCCTCTGAGTTATGAAGAATAGATTTTCAACCCACAATCTTTAGATTGACATCATGATCAATTACAAGTTCTATCTTCCTATTCTTGGGTCTTGGTTTTTCCACCCAAATCTGAAAAATAAGTAAGGGTAAGCATAACTAGTCTGATAGAGAAGTTTTTCCTAAGAGCAATGCTATTAGAACCTAATTTATTGATTTAATTTGCTGACCTAATTCACTATGACCTTTGAATTAACTGTAAGACCCATCAAACATTAGAACTTGGTATTAATCCAATTGCTCTACTAAAATTACATCATTATGTCAGCAAATTATGTCAGATTTTTATGTCCAAATAGTATTACTCTTTCCCTAAGCCTAAATAAGAGTTTAAATACATATGAAAATAGTGTATGTGGTGCCACACAAACCACCCACAGTATTCAATATCTTTAACTAATCCTCTCAAGGAGTACTATAAATCCTTGGAACCTCGTAAGGAACCAAACTCATCTATTAACTCTCTCCCTCCGTCTTTACGTGAACAAATAGTTAAAGATAATTAATATCATTGGTTTTGAAATGTTTAATGCATGTGTATTACTAGTTTAGTGACCAGGTATGTCTCTATGGGTGCTTCAATTGAATGTTGTTACACTGTGACCCTTTTTTTTTTGTATTCAACATGTAACATCTTCTTCTTGATATAGGGAGTGAACGAGCAACCGCTATCTATTATCGACTTTCACCTGTCATTGAAGTACTCAACAAGTTTATAAAANACGCAACATCTTCTCCTTGATATAGGGAGTGAACGAGCAACCACTATCTATTATCGACTTTCACCTGTCATTGAAGTACTCAACAAGTTTATAAAATATCATTTGCACACATGTCATGATCGATAGATTCCTTGCGTTTCTTACGGCATGGATCAATACCTTAGAAATATTAGCTGTGAGAAGTATGTAATGTCCTCCACCATTAAGTTCAAGTGTCCATTGTTCTTTTGGAATTCGATCAAGCAACCACGCAGATGTCAAGTTGATTTTCTTGATTTCCTCTATTTTTTTGGTTATACTTGTAGATTTGGTGTGCACTACTAGCATCCCAAATAAGATGTTTCAGACGGACATTCTTAAATTTATAGTTGAAGTTGTTGTGGACATGTCGTAAGCAAAATCGATGATAGACATAAAACATTTGACATCTAGAATTCTGTCACTCACAGGATGAAATATACACATTGATGGCGATTGCAAAGGTATTGTATTGAAAAATTTTTTGTCACCCACAACATGTCGTCTAAGTAGCCTAAGAAATCACCCTATTTGCTTATACTTTTCTCATCCACGATTGCAAAGGTAAGCAGATATATCTGATGATTCTCATCGATGCCTACAGCGATTGACAACTTTGTCTTGTGTTTTCCATATAGAAACGTGGCATCAATACTGAAAAAATGGACGCCAATATTTGAATGCTTAGATTGATGGTTGAAAAGCCCAAAATAGTTGGTTTAACACTATCATACCATTCTCAAGGTTGATCAACTGTCATTTGACTATGGTGTCATCATCATACTTTTGTAGTTGATGATACCTCAAACAAGCTCTAGCTGTGAGGTCAGGTCGTCAGGAAAGACATGAGGAACTCAGAGAACCAGGGGTGGAGTTTTTCTTGGGGAGATCGTAGTTGAACCGACCATAAAACAGCTAGGTGACTGCGGGAATTGGGCCCCATGCATGAAACTCTCAACCAACTAAGATTCTCTCCTAAAATCAAGGAGGATATCATGAATAATGGGCACTATATTTTCACTGTGTACACCCCTCAAATCTCCCTCAATATTTCATTGCAGTATCATACACGAGCCTTGCAACTCTGATCCACGCTCATCTCACGTTACTAGCACCTTTTGCTCATCCACGTTGATTTACGTCATCAGTAGTATACCCATGACTCATCCTAGTCGTTAAAATATTGCATATTGCAATATGCTTTAATTTCCACGCCTTCTTATATTAAATGTCATTTGTATACTTGTCGCAAATGTATTGCATTATCACAACAATCTTCAAAGTTGGATATGCATTCACGAGGCCTTCAATTTGTCGTGCAATGAATTGTCAATCTAATTGTAGATGATCCTGGTTGACTGATGGATGCAAACAAATGTGAGAGTCATCATATTTGATAATTTGAAACATCCTATGTGTTTTTTTGGGACAAGTACGAAGCCTCAACTTGCACCCGAATTTATGTCATTGACATCGCAATGTCAATAATTTTCTCTCA